CTTGCTCCCCATCCCGCGGCAGTTAAAACTCAAAATTCTCATTTATGACCCGAAGGGGATAGGCTCCCCGCGCCCTTTAGTTTGCTTATTGCCTTCCCCGTCACGCCACTTACGACGTTGATCAACACGTTTTCCTTGTCCAACTTTCCTTTCCCGCTTTCTTTTTGTTTGGGGTTCTGATTCATTGACTTCCCCGACTTTGAACCAGCCTGGGAGGAGACTACTATCTTTTTCCTGAGATTCTGCATGCCCGGATTACTTGTCACACCCTTGGTAGTGCTTTGTTTTCCGCTGTCCTCCACACGACCAAAAACAAATTGCTGTATGGGGACCTCGATCAATTCCGTTGCATCTTTGCTCAATTTGCCACTAGAGGGTGCCTCCTTTTCTAACTGTGCCCCATTATCACCCATCTCCTGAACTTCTAGGACTTTTCCCGGGTCCACTGGTTCTGTCAGCTGGGGGGAGCCTCCTTTGTTGTCGGGGGTACACTGGTCAGGAGTTGCCTCCTCTTCCATTTCCTCCACCAGGGCACTATATCGAGATCCCCCCTGCCCTCCAAATTGCTGTTGCAGGATCTTTTTCCCAGAGGAGATTTGTTTTTGCCCTCCATTCTCCCCAGGTGAGTTCTGTGTTTGTTTCTTTGTCTTTCCTTTCGGTTTCACCATCATCCACTCGCCATATAAAGGTTCGGGGGCCTTGGGGGCCACGTCCTTTCCTCCCTCATTAACAGTTGGCGACTCGCTCACCACCTCCTTATTAAGGGAAGGGCAAGCTTGCTTTGAGTGACCGTACTTTCCACATTCCGAGCATATCTGATGCAGGCCTTCATACTCAATATAGTAGGTGGACCCTTCGATTTTTTACTTTGAGAGGAGAGGCTTCGACAGGTCAACCTCGACACATACTCGGGCATACCGGCCTCTCTCCCCCGTTTGAGTAGCACGGTCAACCCGAATAGGTCTGCCTATTCTCTCCGCTATTCGTTCAGCAGCCTCCTTGTTGATAAACTCCGACGGCAAGCCCGGGAGTCTAGCCCACACCATGGTGGTGGCCACCTCCGCACAGCTGGGATTGAAGTTTTTCCTCCAAGGTCGGACAGTCAGGTAATATTTACCAATCCGCCATGGGCCCCCCGCAGCTGCTTGCTCGTAATCAAACTGACTCAAAAATCGAACTGCATAGTATCCATACGTGAGGCTCGAGATTTGGATCACCCCACATTTTGCCCATAGGGACTCGAGCCGCCGGGAAACCACTGGGAAAGGAAACGAGCGTCCAAGCACCTTAACAATAAGAGCTGATCGCCACTGACGCCTCCACTGATTCTTTTCCGATGCTTTGAACGGGATCGTAGGGCATCGAGGGTCATCATCCTCCGGGACCTCATCATCCTTGTCATCCTCGCGCATAGCCTCTGCCACATCCTCAGAATCGGAATCAGCCACATACCATTCCTCCTGCACCATATTCTTCCCGAAAAGCTTTTTTGATGCCCCCGCCCATGGTGATGTCGTGGGTGGGACTTCTTTGGTCTGCTTGCTTCCACTACTCCCATCATCTTTGAGCATCTCGTCTGAATCAAACAAAGGTTATCACTCATCGGTTTTGCACGCTTCTTTGTAGGTTGCGTATCACGGTCACGCCTGTTGTTTGGGACAGGGAACACATTCGGCGGGCAACAGGATTGAGTGCTTCCGTCGGGAGGCTTCGCCCCAGGGGGGATATCCCCCGGCCCCGCGTACGTCATGGAGAGCCGCAGCTGCGGCGAGGGCAGAGTGTAACCGGTAGCGCTAGGAGTTGGGTCGCCGCTCCGAAGAAGTCGCAGCTAGTTTTCATTGTCGTAGTTTTGTGTTTATGTTTGTCCAATTTGTTTTTCTTTTTCATTATGTGTATGGTTTATGCATTTTCCATATTGTACTTTATTTATGTAAGGGTACATTTTTTACTCCAGAAATGAATGATAATTGAATTGCTACCTCAGTCTTTCAATTAAAAATATTCCAAAGATTGGAATACTCATTGCCAACATTGAAGCCCACGAGCTACATCAACTTGTTGTCTACAAAATATTTCGTAGGAGATGACTTGTTGTCCAAAAAATAGTTGTTAAGAGACTACCGACTGTCTCGAAAAAATACCACCTAAGGAACAACTTGTTATTTCAAAAGATAGTTCTTTATGAACGACTTGTCGTCTCGAAAGCACTGCATTAGGGATGACCATGTGTCTTTAAATATAGCTTTTAGCAACGCGTAATGTCTCGAAAACCCATCATAAGGGAGGACTTATTGTCTCCAAAATACTTCATAGGGAACGACTTACTGTCCATAACACAATTCACAGGAGACGACTTATGGTCTCCAAAAACACTGCATAGGGGACTACATACTGTCCTAAAATTATAGAAAAAAGAAAATAAATTAATTAGAATTTTTGGAGTTTTGGAGACGACTATGTGACACTAATATTGGGGACGACTTTCATTTTTTGTTCCCAAAAGAATAGAGGACGGAACCTATAGGCACCACCCGTGGGGACGAAATTTGTCGTCTCCTAAAGATTTGGAGACGAAAAACCCATGTTTAGGAGACAACATTTTTCGTCTCCAAAACTCACCAATTTTGTAGTGTATATAAATAAAAACTATTTTATCAGGACCATGTCGTGTACGTGTGTCTATACTCTATGGTTGGGCACCGTCGGGAGTCGGAACCACTTCAATTATTATGCATGGGTTAATTCGCATTTCTAAATCGAAACTCTCCCAACCGTCGTCCCTTACTCGCCATTATACCTGTTTGGACTTTGGAGGCATTGAACAACCAGAAACCAACAAAGTCCACCCCTAGGGTAAAAAAAAAATAATAATAAAAAAATTAACGCATACAATGCCCAGCTTGTTAATAGAAACGGAATAAAGTAATAATCGAAACGGGAGACAAGATTTACGTGGTTTCCTTGTTCGTAGTGAACAAGACTAGTACACACGAAAGTGTTTTATCTACTTTTCTTATTCAACTGCACAACTCACTAATCATACATTTATACAAACTCGGTCATTCTCCCGCATTAACCCTGATATGCACCCCAAAGCAAAAACTGTGAGAGTTTAGGCCCAAAGCAGACAATATCTTAGTTGGAAAAAAGTTCGGAATGTTACAATGACAACTTAGCCCCTTAATCCACCGAGGCACCACATTTTATTTTGGATAGCGCTTCATGGTACCAATTTGTGATCTTAGTGCCAAACCTGTCTCTTCTGCTCGATACCTTACCGCTTGGCGGCAAGCCCGTCGCTAGTCAACTTGTTGCCACCTTACCTTAGTACCCACCTAGATAAGGGAGAGGGCGATTGGTCATATTGAGGCTAGGGAGAGGGCACTCGACCACTTAATTAGAACAATAAATCCAACCCGATAAGGCCAAACTAACTCGGCTAATCTTATAAACACATTAAATTTCTTGTAATGAATTCATATACGAGTACAAACTTTAATCTTTATGGTAAACAAATTGTCATAATTTAGAATCATATAGCTGAGCTATGATAAGGCCATTCACATATACTTGAATCGAGATTTGGAGTCTTGAAGCTAAATCGAAATAGTCAAGTTTGGGTAGTTATGAATCACAAGTTATGATTCGTTGATTACTTTCAAATCAAGACTTGCTACAAAGCAAAATTGGTAAATCAGAGGGAAAAAATCCCAAAGTACACTAGTTTTTAAAAAAAATTCCCAAAATACATAAGTTATAAAAAAATTTCCAAAAGTACACATGTTTGGGCATCACCGTGTTTGACAAAAGCGGTGAAGGTTATCACCGCGTTTGTCAAAGACGGTGAATACTTCACCGTTTTAAAAAACAACGGTGAAGTATTCACCGTTTTTGTATAAAACGGTGAAGGAATCACCGTTTTAAACAGAGAAGGTGAATACTTCACCGTTTTAGGCAAAAACGGTGAAGCCTTCACCGTTTAAGTGGTCCACGGTGAAGGCGCTGACGTGGACTAACGCGGGGTATTCACCGCGTTAGACAAACACGGTGAACACCCCGTGTTTGTTTGCGTCAGCGATCCGCGTCGCTGGCGCGTTCACCGTGGCCGTTGGATACGGTGAGGCGCGGATCGTGATTTTCTTTCCAGATCCGACGCCTCACGCTGAGCCACGTCGCTCGATCCGCGCCTTATCACCGTCCTCGAGAAACGCGGTGACTTCACCGTTTCTGTTAGACGCGGTGAAGACTGGGAGAATTTAATTCTCGGCAGATCCCTTCCCCCTTCCCCCAACTATAAATACCCCCTTCCCCTTTCACTTTCAACTCACCCCACAAACATTTCACTTCTTTCTCCCTCAATTTATCCGCTCTAGTCTCGTTCTAAGTATGCTCTGTGGTTGCGGCTAAGTCCGATCTTCCACATCAGAAAGAATTACTAGAGTTTGACCCTAAAGCCCCCGTCCCGCTAAGTTCCCGTCCCGCTCAAACCTAAACTCGTCGAACATCTGTCCGGCCTACGCCAAAAAATGGACGAAGAGGCTCTTCGTGTAGGTTTTTTGTTTATGAATTTTTTTTAATCGAAATAATATGATTTTTTGTTTTATTTTTATCAAAACAATCTCTGATTTCATTACTTTTTTATAGATGGGTGCCGAGATATACGATCCTCGATTGTATATCCATTATGGCCCAAGGGATGCGAGTCTCTTAACCGATCAAGTAGCTCATCGCTCCCGTGCTATTTGGGATAACAATCCGGTAATTTTTTGAGTATTCTTGCTTTATTTTATTATTTTCTAAGGTTTTATTTTGCTTTATTTAATCTAATAAATTGTTGTTTTCCCTATTTTTTTTAGGAATCGCTTGTTCCCGTGGTTCATAAAGGGACCAATAACTTGCCCGCTTGGCATCCAAGGTTGGAGCCCTATATAGCGAGGACAGGTTTGGGAATGTTGCGCCATTTCTTGCGGATCGAAATCGACAACGATCTGCTTACGGCAATGGCGGAACGATGGCGTCCCGAAACCCATACGTTCCACCTTCCGGAGGGGGAAATGACGATCACCCTCAAAGACGTGGCGATCCTCACCGGGATGCCTATTTCTGGGGATGCCGTCATTGGTCCCCAGACCAAACCCGAAGGAGGTTGGGGGCCGCTCATACGTGATCGTTTGGGCTTTGACATGCCGACCACCACTCCAATTCAAGGACGGGGGCATCCACCGTTGAATGCGGGCCAAGTGTCGGTCCCGAGGCTGGTGTCTCACATCCAGCAAGAGGTTGTGATCAATGACGAGACACCGGAAGAACAAGTCGAGCGCTACGCCCGCATCTACCTCATCGGTTTGGTGGGTGGATATTTGTTCCCCGACAAGTCCAACCGGTGGATTCAAGGCATATGGTTGGAGTTGCTCACGGGTGATTGGGATGCAATCGGGCAAAAGAGTTGGAGATCGGCCGTGCTAGCGGGCTTATACCGGGAGCTGTGTACTTGCTCGAAGGTTGGGGCAAAAGCAAGCTGGTGATGCGATGTTCATACTACAACTGTGGGTATGGGAGCATCTTCCAATGTTCGCACCTGCCGACCCACGTCCATACCGGAGAAACGATGATGAGCTCAACTTTCTGCAAAATCTCCCATACGGTGTCAAGTAAGTTTATTTCGTACTTAGCTCGATTTAAATTTTATTACATGCTTGAGCTAGAAATAAATTGAATTTATCCCGTACTTAGCCCAATTTAAATTTTATTACATTAGATAGATTTAATTTGAATTTATTCCGTACTTAGCCCAATTTAATTTTGATTACATGCTTAGCTAGATTTAAATTGAATTTATTCCGTCTTAGACCAATTTAATTTATTATATGCTTAGCTATATTTCAATTAAATTGATTCCGTACTTTTACTTACAAGGTGGATAGGAGCAAATACGAATGACCATCAACCTGAGCATTCGTTACTGTTTTATCGTTCTGAGTTAGATAAACCATGGTGGAATCAGGTAATCATGTTTTGTCCATATTTGAACAAGTTAAATTTTGTCAAAGTAAATGGTAGTTAATTCCGATTTTTTGAATGGATATAGGTTATATGGGATCCATATCCACGTGAAGTGGTTGAGCTGCATCATCTTAGGCACCCTCTGGATCACGACACATGGTTGTGCAAGGTGCCATTAATCTGCTGGCACATGGTGGAATGGCACCTTCCCGATCGATCCCTGAGGCAATATCGAATGGAGCAACCAATTCCACAAGACCCGCCAGCAGGTTTCAGGGAGCTACATGCTATCGATTTGAGCGAATACGTCATGTGCTATTGAATGACCTTGCAACTCCCTCCCTATTGCTAGCTGTAGCCGAGCAACTCGCCACTCGTTGACCTTCCAGTAAGACATCTCCACGATGACAGAAATAGGCATCGCTCGAAGACCCTTGTACACATTATTTATACTTTCTCCATGGTTGGTAGTTGCAATGCCCCATCTGGCCCCGTTGTCCATATGGAACGTCCACATGGGCAACTCTTGACCTTCAGCCCATACTGCTCCAGCTCGGTGGGTATGACGGATCGTTTTCATCTTCTCCTCGTACTTTTTTGGTTGATGTGCAACCGCTAAAAGGTGAACAAAAGACTAACTGGTCAATACATGATGAATAAAATTTTGATTATCAGCTTAATAAACACAAACTTAAATCGCATAAGTAAAACATTAGTACCTGCATTCCAAAGTAGATTCTTGATGTCTTTCTTCTTCCCAAATTTGTGTTGGAAATTGGCGAGCCAGTGTCGAATACACCATCTCCATCTCCACCCCCACTCGTCGGGAAAACCACCAACAGCATTCCTTATCCCCGCATGTCGATCGGATATAATCGTAATATCTTCCCGCTGTGTCACGTGCTCGTGCAGTTGGTCAAAGAACCAAGCCCAACTTAAGCTGTTCTCCCCCTCCACTAATGCAAATGCAAGCGGGAAAATCCGCCTGTTTCCATCTACGCCAGTGGCAATTAGAAGACATCCTTTGTACTTCCCAGTAAGGAAAGTTCCGTCAACCTGAATAAAAATTAAGACTATAATTAGTATGAAATATACTAAACAACAAATAATACAACATTTAAAACTGGAACTAGTTGGTAAAATGCCTGAATAACCGGTATGCAGAACCCAAATCCGTCAATGCATGGTTTAAAAGCCCAAAAAGACGATGGAACATCAACTTATCCTGTACTCGAACTTGATCCTCAGTGTATACATTGTTGTATACTGGGACGAAAACAGTCCCAGGATTGGACTCCTCCATTGCTCCCATAAGTCTAGGGAGTAAAGCATACGAATCCTCCCAATCACCATACACCTCAGCCATGGCTTTCTGCTTACCATGCCATGCTTTTTTATACCTTATCGTGTAAGAATGTCGATCCTTCACCTCTGCCATGATAGCTTTCACCTTGATATCTGGTTGTGCTTCTATAAGGTGCTTAATAGTTCTCCCAACCTTCTTTGCTTTTAGTTGCCTGTGATCTTGGGAAAGTATAGAAGAGGAGCATGTGTGGATCGTCTCAGCTTTGCGAATCACCCAAGCACCCTTTCTCTTCATATTTGCAGCCCGCAGTTGCCACGTACAACCCTCTGCATCATGCTTGCATATGACATGTAGTTGTTTACTGTCAGAATATTTTACCTTCCACTCGAAATTGCGCCTCAACGCCTCTTCTGTAAACGCATCCTGCACAGCGTCTTTCGATGGGAACGCCATACCCACCTCCAAATTGGCCGTCGGATTGTACACTGGCATAGGGACATAATCGGGGGGATCATTCTGACTATGTAAAAATTGAGTTGGAACCTGTGTGTAATATGGCGTGGGTGCCTCACGAAATGCCGCCTCATCCTCGTTATCATCAGTATCTTCCTCCTCCTCGCTCACTGATCTCAAATCTTCCTCAGTATCCTCGTCGCTCGACTCGAATGGATAGCTCGGGCTAGAAGGATCAACATGACCACGATCACCAACATCGTCCTCTCGCTCATGTGAAGTACGCCCTGATCGAATGGTATTCTCGATTCCATACCACTCTGGCCCCCAAGAAGGCCATTGAACACCATCGGCCTCAACAAATGGGGCTGGTTTAGGAGGTTGCGAGTATTTGTCCCATCCTGCACTACTCGATCCACCGTAGTTGATTGAACCACCACCCTCCCCGTAACCTCCTGTATAACCACCGCCTTGGTAGTTGCTCGAACTACCACCCCATTCGTACCCTCCTGCAAAACCATCATCATAAGAATACTGGTGAGAATGAGATTCACCGACCGCCTCGGTCTCAACATACACCTTTGCAAGCCGGACTTGGTTATCGCTTAGGAACTGTAACATCATCGTAACCGCGTCATCATCGTTTATGACAACTTCTTGGAACACGACCCCGCCAGCACTCATGTCTGGATACCGGTAAGTAATTTTGCCAAGTCTCGTCTGTCCGCTCGTACAAACCCTTTCTGCACAAAGATCACAGAGTTCTTGAAAATTGAATCGGGAACCAATGTTCAGCATAATGGATTCGCCGTCCTCATAATCAATGCCTATGTTAGAGTTTGTCACCCTTCCATTCCACCGAATAGTAAGATGAAACTTCTTGAATTTACCCATATCTACAAATCGAGGATAAGTATATATTAGCTTAAAGACAGTAAAATTAACCAAAATCATATTGTACAACTAATATTGTCCATCTCATAACTAACGAACATAAATTCAACTAACTACCAACAACATAATACGAAAATTAAATCATACTATAACTAACGAAAATAAATTCAACTAACTAACAACAACATAATACGAAAATTAAATCATACTATAACTAACGAAAATAAATTCAACTAACTAACAACAACATAATACGAAAATTTAATCATACTATAACTACTAAAAACATAATTAGACAATAATACGAAAAGTCTCAACATACCGAAAAATGTCTGTTCTGTGTATTATGCTCGATTTTTGTTGCTGAAATTTGAAGAAGGGGGGAGTGGTTATGTTTTTGCTTCTGCTGGTGGATTGGTATTTATAGGAAAATCTGCCTATTATTCACCGTTTTTGTCAAAAACGGTGAACAACATCACCGCGTTTGTCTCAAACGGTGAATAATAGGTAGGTGTGACCTAATTTTGACCTACCAGGGGTGGGAAACGTGGGAATATATCACCGCTGTAACCTAAAACGGTGAAGGTAATCACCGTTGTCAACGTAAACGGTGATGTATTCACCGTTCTCAACAAACGCGGTGAATACATCACCGTTTTAGATAAAGGCGGTGAATACGTCACCGTTTTGGTCTTAAACGGTGAAGTATTCACCGTCTTTGACAAACGCGGTGATAACCTTCACCGCTTTTGTCAAACACGGTGATGCCCAAACATGTGTACTTTTGGAAATTTTTTATAAATTATGTATTTTGGGAATTTTTTTTAAAAACTAGTGTACTTTGGGATTTTTTCCAAATCAGAGATCATACCATGTGATTACTGTTCATGATGTATATTGAATGAATCGAGTCAACTCATCAAACCATATCCATTGCTCTACGTTAAGTTGAGCTAGGTGGAAGTTGGATCTAATAATAATTATCAGATTGGATCAAACGACATTTTACCAGGCATGCCACCTTGGATTGAAACCATGGATAAGATTAAGGTGAGAGGGAATCTGGGACTTGGAGTAGCGCCCTTATCCCATCTAGATGGTGAAAGTTGGTCCGTCTAATAATAGAGAGGAATTGACAACGACGCAGTTGTCATCTTGTTACGTTTCGTCCCCAATAATATAATTCAGATCCATTTGCATTGTCGTTTTCTACTGTTTTTTTCCACAACACTGACGCATAGCTAGTAGCAAAGGAAAGGATTTCCACTCGGATTGTTGTAGATAGATGTACATACCGACGTCGCTCAGATCGTCAGAAGATTGATTAATTAATGGGAGGGCAGGGGCAAAACGCAATTGGTCAGGACACAATTCGACCTTCAAGTTGATGTTCAAGTTGCTTGATGTCGATATTGTCTTCAGCAAAAAACAAAAAAAAAAAAGAATTACAGATTATTGTATGATCACGAGATTTTTTTTTGTCACGAATTGACGAACCAATTTGGGTTTAAGACGAATTTGTCATCAAAATTTGAAATAGTTAACCAAGAATCACCATACGCTAGCTCATAACTATCGACATTGAACTTTTCCTCTCATAAGATGAAGATCATGATTAGATCGAAATCCGCAAGAATAGATTTCAGTGGCTACAATGACTTTATCTAATTATCCATCATTAATTATTCAATAAGGGATAATTCAATTATTATTAGACGAAGGCTGAAGCCCAGACGGGATCTCATATATATCAATACACGTAAATATAAACATAATTAGTAAAATACAGAACGCGTTTTAATACATATTCAGTATGCGAGCCATTAAATTAGCGAAAAAAATGAAATAGTTTGATAATAGTACGGAAAGAGAAGTTTTTAAACTATGTTCATGTATACTGATAGTTATAATGGATATATGTACTAGTAATTATAATGCATCCAAAACCGAAACACTTACGCTATGCAAAACTTGATTCATGTATATGGTGAAAGGGGAACACGGCCACATGGATCCTGGCCGGGCAACAAAAGCTAGCAATGCTTGTCGTCCGATCCGCTTAAATAATCACTGTGGATAATAATAATAGTTATCTTTGGTCAAGAGCAACAGAGAGACAGCCTCACGTGTGTACTGTGGATCAACGAATCAATTAAGTTACTTCAATTGTAATTGAATTCTTGGATCGACAACATATATAAAAGTACACTTGAATTCTTTATGAAACATGAACGAATTAACTCCATGTCTCTTGTTTCCCTGTTTTTTATTTTATTTTTATGGAGTTTGGTAGCATTTCGTGATTCGATACATTGATTTACAGGAAACAAATTTCACCGATTATATGAAGATTGTTGTTGACAAATATACGAACGAGTGTTCGAAAATTGATGTTTGAGGTGTGGTTGTGCAGGCAATACACTTGCTCTCTGTATAATCTTTGGGGAATGGTCTTTGAGGAGTTTGTTGATCACAAAGGACAGTATGGTATTAGTCCATGGAGTGATTCATGATATGTAAAAAAAAGTCTCCTCATTGTTCTCTATTCAAAATAGCATGATGAGCTTTGTTGTGGTTGCTTGACCAGTGTATTTATGACATGCTCACAATACAAGCTATTCATGCAAATCTCACATTGACAAAAGAGAGAAATCTTAACCGATAAGATGCATTTTGAGATGAAAAATGGATGAGTTTTTGTAAGAACTCTAATATTAAACATACTCAATGTGAAATAAAGCACATATGATCAGTCACCTCCTGAAAAATCACCAATATGATGCACCTAAAAGCAAAACCATGAATGATCGAATTTAATTCAAAATTGAATTTGTTCACCGAGCCGTGCTAGTAACATATTCACTGCAAATTTATTACCAGCTAAAATTTTGCAAACTTCACCTACTGAACATGGCTTTTTGGCTAGAACTTGGAAGCCAGCTTAAGTAAAGCTTAACTAATTAAGTTCCAGAATAATCGGAATCAACTAAAAAATGAGACGGATTAAGGGGAGGGTGAGTTGAACAGACAGACTTTGCGTAGGGAATTGGTTCCGAGTTTTATAAGGACGGCTCCATCCATGTGCATGGGACTTGGGACAGGTTCAGAGATAACTATCTGACGTATTTTATATTGTCAGACTTCACGGCGAGTGTTGCCGGCAAAGGACACGTGTCGGTCGGCCGTGAATTGGACGGCTGGGCCGGAATTCTAGGCGCAGGATTCTCCGGCAGTTTGACGAGTTAAAGTTAAATAAGTCAACCTAAGAGTAATAATTCCTTAAAGTAGTTATTGACGTGTATTTGGGATATGGACCTGACGGGTTAAAAGCCCATTCAAAATGTAATTTCCCCTAAACGACTACGAGACAAATGGAGTGGGCAGGCCAACACTCATCGGCCCATTGAGCGATAGATCCACACCTGTAATAAGCCCATAAAATTTACTGGAATTACTGAATTTTATTTGTAATAGAGCTCCTGCTAAAACAAGTTATAAATAGCCACAACTAGGCTAGGCCAATCATTTTTACAGTATATGGCAAAAAAAAAAAAAAAAAATCATTTTATAGTAGATTGACGAAATTCCTAAAAAATCTCTTGCAATAGGTGCCATGTTGGAATCTTTTTGAATGATGGAAGGGTTTAATTTCTGAATTGTGTTGTGGTATTGCAAAAGAAGTTAATTTCTAGTATGAAGAGGTTTAGATGAGTTGTATAAGAAAACTGAAGATTGGACTAAAACAACGAAGCAAGTTTGATGTCATCTAGTTATTACATATAGGAGTGTGCAATGGTCCGGTTCAGGATCGGATCGAGTTAATGCGGTTCGGTCCTTGATACACATGAATTTTATAATGACTGAAGAAATAATGGACCGAACTAATATTTGGACCAGACCGAACGCGGTCCGATCCTTGGTCCTATGATGTCTTTCACTAATGGACCGCGGTTCACAAGAGTTTGGTGCGGTCTGGACCGGACCAAACCGTTGCACACCCCGAATTACATAGTTTTGTTTAGATGGCACAAACGGTTATGGAGGAGGCTGAAGGGGCTTACACTGTGAAGAAGTAGAACAGCAGGTTGGACATTCACGTTGGCTAATCTTACTCTGTTCTAGTCAGGGCAAAGAACCTGACACACTGAGCTCTTAGGGGTGACTTATTCCAAGTCTAAAGCAAACTCATTGTTCATGTAAACTATCTGTCCCACATCGACTATATTTAGTTGGTCGACGTTTTTTATTACCCAAGTGAAAAAACCTATGAGACTCATTTGGCTGTCCCACATCGATTGAAGAAGAAGCTTCATTTCCGAGCCAAATACCCTCTATCCATTCGAATCCACATGGTGTGTTCTTCGTGCACCCGGAAACATGCACCACTAAAGCTTGTTGATCGCTTTGAAATGTTTGGCGAGCTCAAGACCGCCGTCCCTTCTTTCCCGACGCTCCCCAAACGACAGCTTTCAACAACTGGGAATGCGAGGAATGGTGTTGGAGGCAGGAATTGTAACTAAGAGTGAAGATCCAATGAGGAATTCCAGCAAGAGATGAAGCTCCAGTCCCTGGGATAGCCATCTTGCGTGGGCGAATTATGAATTACACCTACTTTTGACTCCAAAACTGGAGAGATAAGACTCTCTGTATATCTGTAATGATATGTCAAAATGTCACCGGAGATGGCTTCTATTTCCTACTTGATATGAGTATTATGTCAAAATGTCACCGGAGATGGCTTCTATTTCCTACTTGATATGAGTATTGGGCTCAATCTTATTATAGGTAGAACTAGTCAACTAGACGAGGTAGCATCAACATGAACTCAAATCATTCCTATAGGTCGAAGTAGATAGAGACGAATATTAATGGTGAAATTTGACTCTATTTTCAATACCGATGTCATGAGTCGAATCTATTTGGATTGACATGTTTAAACTGTCATTGCATTCAATCAATTTTGTTAATTGTGTTCACAATCCAATATGTGAGAGCGTGCTCATAAAATCGATAACGACCTTGTAAGTAAAACGACGATGCAACGACCACAATGCGTTCAGCACACAAAATATGACTGAACGGATCTACTAGGATTGGAAACCAAGTGGTGCTCGAGATTGTTTAAAATCTAATTTCCAACCACGCCACTGAGACAGTTGGGCCAAATAAAGGAACCAATTCTGCCCGGTGGACATCTGGTTCAACATCCATTTCCTCATCCAACAAAAACCCAAGACAATTGGGCTTTTAACCTATTGCCTACAGAAAACATTTTGGACCCTTTCTTTCAGGTTTTTTTGTAAGACAATGGGGATCAGATAGGTACAAATTGGGGTGCCCAAATTGTCGTAACCAGGCTTTGGACTGGACACCCATCTCGCATAATTTCGCGAGATTGACCCACTCATCACGCCCCACTTACTGCCTGAAGGATCATGGTTTTCTTCAAAGTTCCTCTTCCCATTTTATAGCCTTACCGTCGACTCCCTTTCCCAGCAACCTTCCGATGTGGTATTTTTTCCATCCGTCAGATACAATCTCCTCACAGAGAAAAAACATTCCTGATTGGTTGATAAGATACAATTATGGACCCTAGATCCTTATATTTACACAACAAAAAATATAATCATAACCCAAGCTTGATTCTTTCCCCCCAACCCTACAAACCCAATTCTGTTGTCTACATGGAATCCAACCCATCCAAAATATCCAACAGATTCCCTCTTTGATGCTGGACAAACTTCCTCCTCCTCCCCATTTCCCTTAGGGGTGAGTTCCCGGTGCTCTTCGTCCTGCTCAGAGCAGCCCAAACCCTCCCGCTGCTCTTCTTGGAGAGCTCCTGGCTCTTGCTTATCCCTGGGATCAGCCTCCTCCTCCGGCCTACCTTGTCTAGCAAGTCTCTGTTCTCCGCAGAGATTCTTGGGATGTGGCTGCCGTGGTGATAGTTTCGAGCTTCGTTCAGGGACGCGATTCGCTGCATCTTCGAGTGGAGATCCTGTCCTCGGAAAGTGGCTGACTTTGGAACATGGCCGGCTTGGCCTCCTGAGGATCGTAGGTCATTGTCGCGTTGTCCGACTAGGGTGATCAGACGGTGGAGCCATGCTACGGTCTCGAGGATGTGTTGGTCAGTTGTCTCCTTGTCGGCATGGTAGAGCGCCTGGAGGCAGATGAGGTTGCCTCGGGTGGCTGCATCGGCTCTCCCGTAGTCGCTACTGTTGAGGATCACAAGTTAGAATCCTTCCACCATAGCATAAATTAGCATTAATACTAGGCATAAAGAAGCAAAGTGTTGTTTACAGACCCAGTATTTGCCCATTCTCCGACCCAACCGAAACCTTGGTGAGCTCTGTTGCCAAATCATAGGAGAAGAAAACCATCAATCAAAGTCAAAATCGGATACACGGAACGTAGGAAACTAGGGGAGGATTTCCAAGAGTTGGCAGCATACTTGGTTGTGTTGGCGGCAACAAGTACAAGCCATTGGAGGGTCTTTTCCATTTCAGCCTTTACTTGAGCTATTGAAAGCTGTAGAGGAATATAGACAAAAGCACAGTAGTGAGATTGAACAGGTAAGCATAATGGAGAGATAGAGATGGAGCAAGAGCTCTATGTAGAATGGAGTGTACCTCTTCCTTCTCTTCGAACATCTGTATTCGAGACCTTAGAGATATTTTAACAGTGGGTGGCAACCCTTGGTACAATGAATCCCTTGTGTTAGGAGGAAGACTTGTGGGACGAGAGGCCTGACAACAAACCAGTTTCAGTTGAAAGAATCTCAAAAGGAGGAGCCTTTTCTCTTTCATCATGCATAATCACAAACAAAATAATTGTTGCTCTTACATTGTTGTCTATCTGAGTGATCAAGTGAGCATAATGCAATGCTAGACCAGCTTTTCCAAGCCTTTGATGGTTGCCAACCCCATCAACCAATGTGACACCTGATGACCCATGAAAGAGACTGTTCAGCAGTTTGTAATCAGTAAGTTCTTCACAAATCAGAACTCTACATCATTTTTAGGCATTCCAATCCAGAAACAGAAAAGATTTGTTGATAGCACGATTTCTGAAGTAACTGAAAGCATCACTTTATGCTAATATATTATGAACTTCCTAGCACATGTAGAATATCCATACTGACTTGCCCTCATACCAGTAGTTCCAAATGCTTCCAGAATAGCTTGGTGCAAATAGATTACAATGTCTACAAGCTTCTCCATGATCTGCCAAGAGCATAGAATACAATACTATTGATTAGTTCATACTAAACCAAGCAACATGAAATTGCAACTGCAAGGCGGAGAAATAACTGGCCAAAATGTTCATTCACAACGCAGTGTTATTGTAAGATTTGTAGAAGAAGTCAACTATTTAGAAGATACAAGTACCTCCTCCAAACTTTTAGACCACAGAGATCTTTTTTTTCAAACTGCGAACAAGCTTCCGTTGCTCTTTCAACTCACTATGTAAAATTGAGAGGCTCTCTCCTACATTTTATCAGTAAATGAACAGCAGGCTCATCAGTAAAATATTCACCCCATCAAAGCCAGTAGGCAGATGTATGATGTATCTATTGGTTGCCACGCAAATCAAGAACAACCTTTCTGAGGGAGGTGTAAGGACTGCAACTCCTCAATCTTACTTTGATAATCTTGCTCAAATCTGTCCAGTGAATGCAATTCATGATAAAGTTCCTGTATAACATACAAATCAGTAAAAAATCTTTCAGAACCCAATGACGATTAGCATCCTTGGGCTAGGAATGTGGAAGCCAGATAGGTTTAGACTTTGAAGAGACTAAACACAAGCAGAGCTAACAATTATCACTTAAAGAAGCTCCCTAAAGTTCAGACTACCTAATATCTTTATGTTTGAAAGGAAACACATTGGAAGGAGAAAAACTAGCTGTATATTCTCGTTTAGAAGTATCGTAAGAGGGCTGTTTCCATTACATGGCCAAGTACTACCATTCTAAGCAAAGGAAGTAATTTCAAGATTAGAGGGTAAGCACAAGGGGTGGTACAGGAATCACAACAGAGCTTTCATGAGGATCTTACAGAAGTATGTTGCACCAGATTAGTCAACTCTTGCACAGACCTCTCAGCTTCTTGTCTCGATTGTTTATCAATTGAAGCCTCTGAATCTAATCTGCCATGTTTCATCCATTACAAGACATTAACAACATGTGGCCAGCAAAAATCCAATAAGAAAAACTGCATCTTCATAGAAATACATACTTTGAATATCGGCCTAGGTTGTGCCATTGGGGATCCTAACAGAGGTCTCCAAACCGAATTACTTCACGGGAGAAGACATCAAATTCTTCCCTGCCAGAAGAGACACTGATAACAGTGAGATCACTACTCTTCAGGACGATGGAAATAAAATATTTTCTTCTGAAAGCAATTAGCAACGACCTTTTATCAGCAACAGCAATAACTGGCAACTCTTTCATATCCGTCGAAATCAACCTCTTAACACCTTGTGAATGCAGAATCTCCTTTTTCAGGAATTCGACATTCTCCTCTGAGAGAGATTGAAACAAGTTCACCCCTTTAGATATTGTATTAGCTACTTCAAATGTCAGTATAGATATTATGTTCCCTCTAGATGCTATGCCGGTGACAAACCCACTCCGACCATTCAAATTTGAAATACTACTTCCAAGAGTGTCAAGAACTTCTAACGTTTTCTCTAGACCCATTGTGCCTGCTCTCCCCAGGAAGGACGTTTTGTGAGTAACCTACACAAATTGAAATCAAACTGAAACCAGTCAAGAACAGTATACACAAGGAAGCCATCTGACCAATCATAGAAAACAACAAGTTCCCAAACATCAAATTCCAATTTCCAAGTGATCCCATATTTCTGGTGAACAGAACAAGCATCCAGCTGAAAGAAAAGAACATCCTCCACTGGGCTGAAGCAAGCACAAACACTGACTTCAACAAGGCACATTCTGCTATAAACAACTTCAGCTTGGCCACGGCTTCGTCCTGAACATTTAAGCCTTGCATATAAGTCGATGGCCAGTAAGCCTCGTTTAGTCTTCTAAGAATGAACATCCCATTCCACCATTGTCAAACATCCGGTGGTTCAAACTGACAACCCTCAATCCCTGTTCTGTTTCCGCATTTTCTCTCAGAATCGGACTTCATCTCATGAACATCCCATTCCACCATTGTCAAACATCTGGTGGTTCAAAGTGACAACCCTCAATCATTGTCCTGTTTCCACATTTTCTCTCAGATTTGGACTTCATCTGCTTATCACAATTCCAGCTAAAAGGTCAAAGATAACATAAGTCTATATCATCGCCACGTTCTTCCAGTAATCAATAGCGTTCCATAGGCAGCAATAACGTATGGAGTAATCCATTCGTTGCAGCTTGATGCATCATAGTCATCTCCACACAATATCTTCAGTAACAAGCTCCAATCGAAAGACTTCTCACTTTCTCAAGGACAAACAACTAACTACATCCACCGTTGACGATTTCTGCTAACTACTGGTTCAACGATCCCTAAATTCCGCTAGTAGCTCGAACGAAAAAAGAAAATTAAACCTACGGAGAAGACTAATTCATACCTTGGTCGGCGTGTCTCCTCCAACCGGCGGCTTTGAAGGCTTCAACTCTCTCGAAACAGACAGCAAGAACTCGCCGGAATAGTGCCTCTCCGGTTGCGTCTTCCTCGTACCTCCTTCCACAATCGCGTACGAATCCTTCACCTCCTTCCCGCCCCCGCCTCCGCCGCTGCTCTTCTGCGATTTCACCAGCTTCCCGGAGAATCCTGACTTCTTCGTCTTCACCTCCGCCTTCGCGTTTCCATCCTTCTTCACCCCGCCCATTTTGCCACTCCACTAAAAGACGCCGGCTGTCGATCCGAGACAAGGTTGTCAAACCGGTTTATGCCAGTGTGCCGGTTTAGCAAGTGGAATGGTTCAACCGGTGGCACATATCGGTTTGTGCCGGTTCATGCCGGTCAATATTACAAATAAAATTATAAATGCTCATATTTGAACATGACATTTAACGTCAATACCTAAACATTTATATTTGAATCCAACAAATAACATCAATATTTAACTTTTATACTCATAAAATAAATAATAAAATAATTTTTATCAATTAAATTCTCTAAATAAGGTCATTTTACTTAGAGATTCGTATATCGATCATGCCGGTCATACCGGTGGTGTCACATCAGTTTTATGATCGGTACCGGTTGAACCCGGTACAACTGGTGGCACGCCGGCCGGCGTGACAACCATTCCGAGTAGAAAGAAACTGTAACCGAGAAGGATTCTGTATTCCCGCTTTCGCCTGAAGAGAAGTAAAAGTAAGGGGAGACGGAAAAACTTTTTGACTGGGAATTGTGGATTAAAGTATTCCGAGGTGCAATGAATCGTGATTCGTGAACATATAATATTTTTTTTTTTTGACAAAGGGAATACTTGCATTGCACTTTGAATGATCAATTACAAGAGAGCCAACAAAGCAAACCAAAAATAGAACAAGGACAGAAAAACAGAAGCACAAAGATGCTCAATCTGGGCTTCAGAAATACAACAAGAAGAGCACAAAACTCAGAAGAAGTCATCCACCAAAGGATCTGAAACACTTGAACTAGAAGCAGTAAACACTGAAAGCTCTCTTGCAATCAAAACAAACGAAGTAGCACCAAGCGCAATCAGCTCGTCCGATCCGACCGAGTCCATGACGATTGAACACAATGTCATTAGCCGCCTCCTGGGAGTCGCTCAGAGACGCTCAACACAGTGAATCACGGGTGAGAGATTACATGGCGGTGGACAGAGATGAGGATCGAAATGCTCCGAGCTGAAGAGGCAGGGGAAGACGAGGCTCCAAGACTTGGTCAAGGGAAGCAGAAGAACCCAGATCCCCAGATCAAAGAACTGAACCCACGAGCAGCAAGGCTAGATTCTGCATTCCATCCTCCATCGGCCACCAAGATGCAGAACAACCACCTGGGAAGAACGAAGGGGAAAACCAGAGAATCGGTTCACCACAAAAGCTAATAAACCGACCATCATGAGGGAAGACCCAAGATGCATAGCCCAGCCCCAAAGGAGAGCAAATCCCAACAAAAAACCCTAGAACAGGGGAGCGAAATGCCAAGAATGGCTTGAAAAGCTTGAAAGCATGAAAAGCAGAGTGAAAAAACATAGAAATCAAAGACAAGCAAAAAAAGGGGAGCAGGAAGGAAGGAAAAAGGATGGGCTACCGCCGGTCACCAAGGGATGCCGGCGGCAGCCCTGGGGAGCTTCACGGAGAGGGAAAAGGTAGAGAGGGATGAGAGCAAAAATTTGAAATAAAGTTAGAGAGAGAGAGTTTTCCTTTCCCTATGAACATATAATAACGTGAGAGAAAATTCTCACTTTCTCATCGCGAAAACCAAACGCGAATTGGGAGAGGACAAGAGCATCTGGGGTTTGGAAAGGGATGGAAGGTTTAGGTTGAAGTCAGCATTTAGCCTTGCAGCGGGGTCCGGATCACCTCAGTAACCATTCCATCAGTAATCATCAGTAACCCCTTCTCCTGGCCCCCACGTGTTAGCTTTTTCTTTTTATTTAAAAAAACACGGAGGGGCACTAAGGTAAAATTGCACCCCCTATTTAATGATGTCTCTGACGCGCTGACGCTGACCAGATCACATCAGCGCCTTCTCTCTCCTCAAACAACCTTTAATTTTCCTTCTCTTAATCTTTAACGGACAATTTCTCACTCGTTTTAAGTCGGAATTTAATTTTTTTTGCACAGTTAGATCGGATTAATTGTGCTCTTCAAAATGATATCCACTTTGATATTTTTCAGACATAAAAAAATTTGTCAGTTATTACCAGTCTATACCATATGGTAATGACTGGTATTGACCATACCATATGGTATGAAAAAATTTGTCACATCAATATATATTACGTTATCACCCAATACCATATGGTATAGTGTGGTAATATCAATATATATTTCGTTACCACCCAATACCATATGGTATAGTGTGGTAATATCAATATATATTTCGTTACCACCCAATACCATATGGTATAGTGTGGTAATATCAATATATATTTCGTTACCACCCAATACCATATGGTATAGTGTGGTAATATCAACATATGGTAAATCTAACTACCATACAATACCACCATAGTAGAACATGGTTAATCGAATGAACACAAATTAATTGTAATTACCATACAATACCACATGGTATGAGAAGGTAAAACCATACAAAAATAATATAAATCTAATTACAACCCTTTACGACCATAGTAAAACACAATATCCATAAAAATACATTTCGTTACCACACTTTACCATATGGTATATACACTTTACCATATGGTATAGACACTTTTACCATATGGTATATACACATTACCATATGGTATAGACACATTACCATATGGTATATACAAATTACCATATGGTATAGTGTGGTATATACAAATTACCATATGGTATATACACATTACCATATGGTATATACACATTACCATATGGTATAGTGTAGTAATCTCGGTATATATATACAATTACGACTCTCTTCACTTTCTTCTCCAACTTCATTGTCTTCTAACTCTTTTTTCTCAGAACTGGAGTCGATTACCACCCACTACCACCATGATAAAACTCGTGACCATAAAGATACATTTAGTTATCACACATTACCATATGATATAGTGTGGTAATATCAATATATATTACCTAAAAGGAAGAAAAACAGAAGGAGGGAGAGTCAAAAAAACTCGTCTTCTGTTCCTCTCATTTCTCCTCCGCAATCAAGAACACCAAATGCAACAAAAAAAGAGGAGGAAGATCGGAATTGAAAATTCACAAACAAATACTAAAATATAAAACATGCAAACTTAACTCACATAGATCCGTCCCCTCTTGGTCAATATGAAACGTCATCTATTTTGAGGCCGAGAAAAGAAAGAACATAAGGAAGAAGCAGCTGCAAAGAAAGATTTGGAGCGTCACCAGATTTTGAGGCATGATGCTGCAATTTTTCTTTGTCAATTGTTGAAGAAAAAAAATAAAGAACAAAAGAAAGGAACATATCTTGATCTGGGAAAAGGAGTTTGGAAGAGAGAAGGAAGAGAGGAAGGGAAAGAGAAAAGAGGGAGGAAGTGAAAAGTCTGGTTTCTCTTTCCTCCGTAAAAGTAATAATATAAATGCTAGAAAAGTAGAAAAAGACAAGAAATAAAATTCAAAAACCGGACAAAAATGCCCATGACCATCACCGCATCAACCACAGCCACACGATCAGCCTGGCCCAGATCTACGGTCCTAAAGTGGTTACTCACCCTATCCTAAGCCTTGCAGCGGACCAAACCATTTCTGAAGGTGAGTCAATGTGGAAGAAACTCTGGAAATGGAAAGGGCCAAGCCGCACCAAACATTTCCTCTGGCTTGTGATGCATGACAGGCTACTTACCAACAAGGAAAGAGTCAAGAGGAAGATGACTACTGATGGAAACTGCAGCCATTGCAAAGATGTGGAGGAGACTACAGAGCACATTCTGAGGAAATGCAGCAAAACAGCAGCCATCTGGGAAAAATTCAGGTGCAAAGTCACTAATAAAGAAAGCAATCTGCCCTTTAAGGAGTGGATGTCTGCCAATTTAAGTGATGATACCCATGGCGTCGATTTTGGACTTATTGTGTGGCAACTTTGGAAACAAAGGAATGAAGAGTGTATGGATGGGAAGGCTTATGTGGAAAAATCTCTCATCTGCAGAATTGAGGCCTGGTTCAGCATTTACAAAATGGCACTGCAGAATGTTGAGCGAAGCTTCAAACCACCTGTTGAAAGAAGAGAAGAGGAAGTCGGTTGGAGGCCTCCTCCTGAGGGATGGGTACAGGTTCAGACTGATGGCTCTGTCCTCTCTCCCTCAGGGTATGCAGCAGCTGGAGGTCTCCTTCGTGATAGCCTTGGTAGATGCAGCTCTGCTTTTGCCTGCAATCTGGGGAAGTGTTCGATTACTGCTGCCGAGCTGAAAGGGGCGATTGTTGGTTTGCAGTTGGCTTGGGAGAGGGGTTTTCGAAAAGTGCAGCTTAAGTTGGACTCAAATACTGCCATTGCTATCATTAGGGATCGCTCTGATGATGATCACCGACACGGAATTCTGGCTAAACATGTGAACCACCTTTTGGATCGTGACTGGGACGTCTCTATTTCACATGTGTATAGGGAAGGAAATCGCACTGCAGATTTTCTTGCTAACTTAGGCCATAGTCTCACTTTTGGAACACATCATGTTGATGTGTGTTGTTCGGATCTTTGTAGATGGCTTGACTATGATGTTATGGGAATTTCCCAAACTCGTATTATTAATACATGATTCAAGGCGCTTTTGTGCCTGCCTTCTTACCAAAAAAAAAAAAACCAAACGCGAATTCGGTGCTGCTCCCGTATCTAAAATGGAAAATTCTCAATTCCGGAAGAGAGTTGTAGGCAGCTGCCAATGGAGAATGGGAACGGAGCTGCGATTTGGTTAATATGGTTCCCTCCCTTCATATAGCAATGCCAAATGGACTGAGATGTTTTACTTTGGTGGAGCCATTAGCATTGACACAAATTATGCTAATGTGTTGATGCCTGATGGTTTAGGCCTCCGAGTTGGTTAATATGGTTCAATACATTAGCATCGACGAGAATTGATATGTCGACTCATTAGCATATTATACTATGATTATACGATAATAATACTTATAAATTGTGAACATGTATAAGTGAGTATGATGTATGTACATCTCATACGAATTAGTATATGATTGCAAGTTTAACTATTGAACAAATAGGTGGTTATCACATGCTACGTTTGCTAAGTATAGCGATAATTAGACTTTATGGTCATTATCGTTAGAGGGAACAAATCAACATCCAACCACTACCTGGATCGATGACTCAAATTTCTAAGATCTGAAAAGGAAGGTGAAGTCATCGCTCACCACATCTCGACTCTGACTAAAATAATAGTATTGAAAAATGGGAGTCCTTTTAAATTCTGTTCATTTTGCAGATTGAAATTATCTTTATTGTTCTCCAATCCATCGTATGGTGGTTAACTTTGGTAGAGCAATCTGAGGAAGCAATAGTTGAATGAATACAACCGGGTAGGGGTGGTAATCGGTCGGTAATCGGGTTAACCGGTTATCGGTATACTGTTCACGACATGGGAGAACTCGAATACCGATACCGGTTTGTAACCGGTTAACCGGTTACTGAACACCCGTTGACGGTTACAAACCGGCTATACCGGCTACCCGCGAGACACACCTCCTCCTCTCTTTCTCATTCTCGACAAACGGACTCTCTCTCTCTCTCCCAAACCCTCCCCAAAACTCTTCTCTCTCTATCTCTTGTTCACCTCTCCCCAACCTTCCCAGACCTCCTCTCTTTCTCGATTTCCTCTCATCTCCCCATCCCTACACTAATCGCCGCCCACCGCTGTCGTCGCTGTTGTCGCCGCCACATCGAACAAGCTTGCTCTCTACCCTCACCACCATTCCAGCAATCCAGCCTCCAGTTGTTGTCGCCGCCGCCGGATTAGGGATTTTTTGGGGGTGTCAAGAAATCCGGGTGCTTCCTCTCTCGATCCAGATCTCCGGCGACGAGGAGAAAGAGAAGATGGGTGAGGCGACAACCATCCCACCGCCATCTCGTCATAGCCCTCCCTTTGCTCCTGCTGCTCCCACCAAATACAGATCCAAAAGCATGAAACCTCCTCTGTAGTCCGATCTGGGTTCGAGTTGTCCTTCTCCAGTCCACGTGCTCATATTTTGAAAGATCGAACCTCTACTTCATCTCTTCGGCGACGAATCAATGGCGGAGCATCCCTTGGAAGTCAAGACGTCGGCAATGGCGGTGTGCACGAATCTGTGCTCTAGCGGAGAGGTGGAGGCAGCGTGGTGGAGAGGTGAAGGCGGCGGCAACAGGGAGAAGGGTTGGGGAGGAAGTCGAGCGAAGGAAGCCAGTATCAGTATACCGAAAAACTGTCGGTATATACCGGCAAAGGAGCCGGTATACTGAAATCCTTCGAGGCGCTGCCGAATACCGATACATCCCGATTATCGGTACGGTTATCGGTTAAACCGGTAACCGGAAAACCGATTGTCACCCCTACAACTGGGTATTATTATGAGATTCTTTGGTGTTGAGGCCTTAGGCTGACTTGTCAACGCTGGAGACGGGCAAGCATTGAAGAACAAGGGCAATTTGGGTGTGATGTGACAAGTGATTAGCGTACGGTTGTTTCAAACAATTGAAGAAGACTACTTATTCTTCAATATTGCCACATATGACATATGCAATGTTTAAAGTTAACCACTTGCCTTAGTTGCCTATCGACCGGTAGGGATGGTTTGTTCGATTCTTGCAACCAACTAGAAGAGGCATGATTATTAGTTTATTACACGCAAAAGGATATGATATGAAACTCAAAACAACAAAAATTATAAAAATCCTTGTGTTTTATTACTTCTAATACAAACTATATCACTTTTTAAATTATCGTATCAGTGTGATATAATTCATATCACGAGTAGCAAGACCTATATTTTATAGGTTTTATAGTCCTGAGTTTTGTGTCACAACTCATATCTTATTAATTGTTAATAAATCAAATCTTTGTGGAATTAATATACAACGGTTTTGCTCCGATTTTCTCGGAAAGCCTTTTGCGAACTTAGGGTTTCCTGAATACGATGGTGGCACCGCCGCCGACCATGGCGACATCCCCGACAGGCAAGCCACCGGATTTAAGTGGTACTCGGAGGGCGGCTACGGTTTCCTCCTCTCCGGATGGGAAGGGGGAGAAGGAGACAGTACAAGCCAAAAAACGTGTTCGGGGGCTGAACCTGATCCAAGAAGAGGTGGGTCTCCAGGGAGGTCCATCGGAGATGGAAGCTGACGAAGTCCAGGGGGGAACGATGCTCATACGAAGACAGTTCCGAAGGAGTCAGTGTGGCAGGGCGCAGCTGCTAGGCTCTTTGTAGACGTTATGGTGGAGGATGGGTGGTATGTAGTGGAGTCGGATTCTGAAGATGTTGCGAGTAGAGAAAAAGAAGAGGATGAATTTGTTCCTGAAGAGGAAAAGGACCCGACTTGTCCTGTTCTCGGCAGCTCAAGGTGGAGGAGGGAGTGGCGTTCGGCTTTGGTGGTGCGAGGCCTGGGAAGGAAAGTATCATACCTGCCTTTACCGCGTAAACTGAACTTCCTATGGGCACGTCATGGAAAAATAAGTATATCGGATATGAAGAATGGATGCTTTTTAGTGAGATTCAAGAGCAAGTTGGATTATGAGCTAGCAACATATGGGGGTCCTTGGATGATGGGTGATACGTATTTGGCGGTGCACATGTGGTTTAAGGGTTTTAACCTGTGGACCTCAGAGATCACTTCTACCATCGTCTGGGTTCAGCTACTTGACTTACCTGTGGAATTGTAGGTCGGGCTTATAATTTCCTGGAGGACTACCGAGCTCACCAAAAAGTACAGGTGGAAGTGGAAAATAACAGTGCCGCTCAACGGGGTGGATGGAAGAAGCCGCAAACGGGAGAGGTGAAAATCAATTCGGATGCGGGAACTCTTCGAGAGGGAGGTACAAGGATTGGAGTAGTTATTAGAAGAGCTGATGGGAAGTTCATTCTTGTCGCAGCAAGGAACATGCGTGGTGAGATGTTCAGACACAGCCGAGGCGTATGCGGCGGAATTGGGAGCTCGACTAGCCCAACAATGCGATGGGACACGGTTCATTTTGGAGACAGATTGCTTGTCATTGGTCCAACAGTTGGACAATGCTGAAGGCCTCCAAAATGAGAATAGGGTTATTTGCAGGAGTATTAGAAGACAGCTTGCCCAAGTCAATGAAGGGAGATGGCAGTTTGTGTCGAGGGAAGGAAATGCAGCCGCCCATATTATGGCACACACGAAGACAAGATGGAACAAGACGATTGTTTGGGTCGATCGGCCGCCGATTTATCTAGTTGATCAGTTAGTTTTGGATAATGTAACCACTGGTGCTGATTAATAAAGCGTAGCAGAGTTTACTATAAAAAAATCAAATCTTTGTTGTGAAAATGGTTTTATATTATTAAAACAGCAGACATCACCAACAAAGGCCCAACATTTTTTTAAAATTTTTAGGTCCACCAAGCTACAAGCAATCCATCTGGATTTTCAATCAAGTGGGCCATTTTATTTTAGTTCAGGGGCCATTCACACATGACAAATTATGTTTTTGGTAAATTGTAAGGTTGATCACTGAAATTACTAAAAATGTTCGTGTTTGGTCAATAAAAATATATAATTTCATTCGTGGTCACTATAATTAATCAAACAGTTCAAGTTACTCTTCATTACTTTCGTTAACCTCTGTTAATGTCGTCGGTTTTTTGCAAATGTGCCTAATAGAAGTGTCGATCGACTAATTTTATCAACAAAAAAAATACAATCCAACCCTCCGCATCATTAAAACCAGCCACATAAGATACCCAATCTAACCCAACCCTTTACTCGACCCTTCTTCATCTTCCTCAAGTTGTCTGGAAAAAAGTCCCTACCTCCCAAATCCCAAATCAAATCACGCCAGCCAACGACGGTAGATTCCTGACTCTACTCCTCAAATTTGACCTCCCCACCCTCCGTTCCTACTAATTCCTCAATCGTCACGTGCACTTCCCGGAACTCCAACAGCAGCGAAACTCCCAACAGCGATCACGCTTCTTCTCCGTCACCGTGAATGCCACCTCTTCGGCGGTGGCTTCTTCTTCTTCCCCACCTCGAGCCACCACTGTAACCCCCTGAATCGAGATCTTGAGTCAATCTCCAACGCAACCGCGATTTTGAGCAAAATTTGCAAATGATTTTTTGCCCTCTTCTGTTTCTTCGGCTTCACCCTACTCGACTTATTCGCCAATCAAAGATCTTCATTGGTCAGCAGACATATGCAGAGGCGGCAACAGAGGAACGACTCGCCAGTGGTGAAGGATGCGGGTATAGGGAGGCACGATGTCTTCGGTGGGAGTTTGGGTGTTCCCCGAAACGAAGGTGAACAC